GTAACCTGGACAAGCCACTTAACCTCTCTGAGTATCAGTTTCCTAAGCCCAAAATGTTCTCTCTCCCCCACATCCTAGTGGTCCATTATTTTAAAGAGTAGGTGAGATGCTACCTGTGAACAGGGCAGGGTTATTGCTGGCGGATGACCCTTACCCTGTCTGGTGACTTTTTAACACGTGCCCTAAGGGCTTCCCATACTGTCGGCAACAGGGAAGGAAATGGCTGTAGGTCAGAGCCAATTTTAGAAGCCCATGTTTTTGCAAAAAAAAAATGAAGAGTCAGTGTTCATCCCAACAGTGTTGCTGGCATAGGGGTGGTCCAGCAGGTGTCAGCAGAGGGAAGGGAAAGATGCCTGGGTCTGCTGCACTGAGACAGACTGGAGGAGTCTGCTATAATTTCACAGCGATACTATCACAGCTGCTCCAATTCAGGTGTGTGTGTGTGTGTGTGTGTGTGTGTGTGTGTGTGTGTGTGTGTGCAGACTCGGAGCTCTGACAGGGAGACACAACCCACAGAGTCCCTCTCCAGGATCCTTACCCCTCACTCAGTTTCTTCCCATTCTTGCCTTGAATTTTCTTTGTCCACAGAACTTAGAAGCAGGCATGTTCTCAGGGTCTTACTTTCTGCAGTTGACTTTCCCCTCCAAAAAGTTTCCCCTGCCTCTGAAAATAAGGCCACCAGGTGGGGACCACGTGTGTGACACATGACCTTACGGGGAACATTTCATAGTCATACCATAACAAGGGCATGAGAGCAGTGTCCCCACATGTGAATTAACCCAGCCATTCAGGAATGGGCTTATTATTGAAGAGTGAGTTTGGGGTCCCTTTCTACTTCAGGATAAAGCAGCTTGGAAAATCCATTTCAATTCTCTTCGCATCGTGTGTTTTCTTAAAGAAGTTCTGTTCGGGAATGGCTGTCCTTTCTCCTGGGTGGCAGGTTTGTTTGAAACATGGAGTTATTTATGTATTGTACCTAAACTTCCTTCTTTTCCCTCAGTGACAAACCATTCAGATTCAATAATTCAGGAAACAAACCCGATGTCATGTAAATGGCTAGTTCCCTGGGAGCTGGAGAGCACACCTGCCAAGGAGCGAATGGTACCCAGGGTACCAGATGGCCTCTCAGTTTCTACCTGTCCTTCTGGGATATGTCTTCACTGCAAATGGGTATACTTCAGTGCCATAAGTTTCCGAGGTGCGGTGGGTTCTACCCTTGCTCACCTGAGGCCTGCGGCATTTCTGGGTGTAAAGACAAGTTAGATACAGAAGCCAATTTTTACATCAGCAGCAGGCTTCAAACTGCTTACCTGACTGTCACTTCCCATCTCTAAGGGGAGGAGGGGAGGAAGAGAGAGGAGAGGTGTGACCGGAAGAGGCAGGAAGAGAGCCAAGTGTCTACTTATCTGTAAAGTGACACATTCTAGAAACAGGAGAAAGGGAACAGGAGAGATGCCCCTCAACTCCCTCCTCCAGAAAAGGGCAAATGAGATGGGACTGAAAGGGTCTCGGAGATTTGGGTGCCAGACCTATGGGGATAAATAAAATTTAAAGGTGAAGATTATGGTGCTAGGAGAGGGTAGGCCATCAGAGAACCTGGCACACCTGGGCAGGGGAGGCACGTGTGGGTAAATCAGACGGTTACAGGTGCCTATGGTCCTGCTGCTCCTCCCACCTCATAGAAAGTTCAGTTCCCCCCAGTTGGAGTAACCCCAAGGAGCTCAGGAGGCGGGCCTACTGAGATACGCCCCCCACCCTGTGTAAATGTACTAAACTGTACTATCTAGAACCCGCAAGGGAAAAACAATCCAGCGTTCACCTCCAAACATGAGCTGGGCCTACAGTCCGTCCATAAATCAAACCTCAGCTGGTAGAGACAGGCTGAAGGGCAGTGGAGTGATGGGCACACTACACACAAATGCTTAAATACCAGGGTACTCTGTGCCTCCCCCCACCCTGGCCCCTTTTGACTATGGATATTTATTTCTCTGTCCATATAAAAAAAAATAATACCCGGAGTAAGTAGCAAGTTCGAAAGAATTTTTAAAGTGAACTGGAGAGGAGTGCCCCTGTGGAGACAGGAGTAACTCTACACCTTATAGTCCCCGAGGTCTTCGGACAAAAACAAAAGCCCTTGGCTAGTTTAAGCCCACCTGGAGTTATCTTCCTGCAATAAGGAAAGCCTGGCATACTCTCTAAAGGATCCTGTAAGTCCCTGGGCTTAAAGCAAGGGTTTGCCCTTTTAAGCACAAGTGAGCCCCAAAGAGAGACCAGACCAGACTCATGTCTGAGTACTGCCTGCGTTTGCATCCATTGCTTTCCTCAGTCTTAAATACTGATAAACCACATTGTCAGATTAGGACAATGCCTAGATCTCTTTCTGGTGTTGCAGAATAATATTTGGCTATGTATCTTCCCTTGAAAAGGAAAAGGGGATCTGTTGCAGGTCGTATAGACAGCAATCACAAATGAGCAGTTGCTGGGCCACAGTGGTATCGCCCAAAATTATGATAATGATGATGATAATAATAATCGACCACTTTTAAGGGTGTGTGTGTGTGTGTGAGAGAGAGAGAGAGAGAGAGAGAGAGAGAGGAGAGAGAGAGAGAGAGAGAGAGAGAGAGAGGGAGGGAGGGAGGGAGGGAGAACTAAGTAAATTGATTTAATCAGGCCCATATCTATCCCTGGTGGTTACAAGGTTCCTCAGGAGTCCACGCCTCTGCCCCTAGGGCCTCCCTGCTCAGGCAACAACAGCTCTGGTCTAGTTCATTTCGCCACAGCCCCAAATCGCGGAAAGCAAAGATTAAAGGCGAAAGTCACAGCTGTGTATTTATATTTTCATTGCTAGAAGGGAATTGATTTCCGTGCATTTATTTTGGAAGTTGTAATACAGAAGAACGGATTTGCGTCACCACAGCAACTTGCCGGTGGAGATAAAGTCGCACAAATATTGAAAGGGGAAGTGCTAGGAGTCATTATAGAGTTTTTCTCCGGAAGAAATAAGGATTTCTGCTGTATCCTAAAATACTAGGACCGCTTCTATTTTGAGACCAATCTCGCAGGCATATCCGCTCATTTAGTCCAAGTTTGAGCCCATCAAAAAAACAGGAGATGACCTGAACTCCGGCGAGCCCTGGGTTTCCTGCTGCTTTCTTGGTTCTGAAGGGTAGGGGGTAAAGAGGAGGGTAATGTGCGGGCTCCCTGCAAGGCGAGTTGCCTGCAGGGGTGAGGCTTGGGCCTGGAGCAAGAAAGACCCACCGACCCAAAAGCTTCCTTTTTCTTTCTGATGTTCTTTTTTTCCTCTCTCTCTCTCTCTCTCTCTCTCTCTCTCTCTCTCTCTCTCTCTCTCTTCTTTCTTTCTTTCTTTCTTTCTTTCTTTCTTTCTTTCTTTCTTTCTTTCTTTCTTCTTTTTTTCTCCCTTCCCCCTCCCCACACACACACACCGAGCTCCGATTAGGCCTTGGGTAGTGGGTGAGGCTGCGGCTGGGTTGCAGAGATTGTAATGATGCTACCTGCAGGTCTGGGAGAGCGGAGGATTACTCCCGCTCCAACACGATACAGCTTGTAATTCAGCCCTTGCAGTCTGGTTTTAGAGCCGCGGGGCACTCCTTGCTTCTAAGTGCCGCAGGTCCGTTGGTGGACGCCGCCAGATCCTTAGAGCTATCGGGTTCTGCACTGACTCCTCCCGCTGAGCGGGTCTCAAACAGCGCAAAGAGAAGAAAGGGGTAGGAGCCCTATTTCTAGGGGGAGGAGGTGAGGATGCAGGCCTCTGGGTGAAGCGTTAAACCTGTCTGAGTTCCTTTGGTCTAGGCCGCTCACTGGACGTCCGCGGTCAAACTGGAATCGCAACAGACAATCACAAGGCTTCTAGAAAAGAGGCGCGGGAGCAGCTAGGCTAGTGATTTGCTTTCATTAGCACCCAGGGAAATTTATGAAACTGTTCTCTCTCGTCTCATCACACTAGAACCTTTAGCCAAAGTCTCAACTCCGGTGGCCTTGTGCTTGTCACAAGTCCACCTCCTGCTAGACATGCCTTCCAGGCCTCTCTTGTCCCAGGCACCGCCGCCCTCAACTGTCTGTACCCCAATGTCTCTGATTCTGTCTCTGATACCAGAAGTAGGGCTCCGGGAACCTTTCTGTGAGAGAGAATGTAGGAGGGGAGCAGGGTGAAAAGCGAGGAAAAGACCGGGGAGGTGGGGAGGAAAGAGAGGAGGAATCTCAGTGACTGCCGATCCTGTGATTGATTAGCCATTAATTGCGGTCCAGGAGAAAGGCAACCGCTAACGGTGACAACATCGCTGAGGGAGGCCACGAACTAGACTTTAACTCGGGAGCCCACTCCAATCCTGAGCTGAAAATAGCCACCAACCTTCCCTTGCATTTTCGGATTTAACTGGCATCTTAGAGCTGAGGGGAAATAAGCGTGCCTTGGAATCTCATTTAGGAGACTCTTATTTGGACAATCGAAAACAAAAAATTTGATGGTTTCGTTATTGTCGTTATTTTATTTTCTTCCTGAAAATGTGCAAGAACAGCTCATCCGGGTGGCCTGTGGTCGGTTTGGGAGTGGGGCGGGGAAATCCATTCTGACTATAATTTAAAAGAGAACGAATTCTTAAAATAGAGATGTTAATGCAACAGAAAACCCCCACTTACACCTACCCTAAGTTCTAAAGACCCTGGCTGGAATGGAAGGCGCTGGCTATGGCGGCTAGGGCAGCGCCTCCTGCCAATAGGCCAAAGCGGATCCTGGAAAAACTGCCACCGAATTGAAAGTAGGTATTTATTCTCAAAGGCAACCGCTCCCTGGCACTTGCAAAATATCGGACCACGTGACCCGGGGATGTGGTGGCCGCAAAGGGTGGCACTTCCTACAAGGTGCAGGGAGGGGACGCGCGTGCAGTTCTCCTGGGCCTGGCGAGAAAGCCCGTTTTTGCTGTTTTCAAGTCTCGGGGCAAAAGTTTGGATGTGTCTAAGGGAGATGTTTGGAGCCATCTATCTTATTTTGTTTGAAAAGTCACTCTTTCAAGTTGTCACTGGAATGACAGCTCAGAATAAAACTAATTTGCGGCCGGCCCTCCTTCTGGCTTCTCTTGAGCTTCTTTGAGCTCAGCGGCAGACGGATTGCAGATTTGGGCCGGGGTTCTGGGTTGCAGGGGCCCGGAAAAGATGGGGCCTTTGTCTAGGACACTAGCACTTGGGATAAAATCAGAAAGAGAATAATCGTGTGAAAGCAGGATATAGAAGGGACAGCCTAAGGGCGTTCCCCGCGGTCTGTTCTGGAGGTGAGAGAAGTTGTTCACTACCGCCGAGCATGGGAGCCCCAGCACTACCCTCCTTCTCGGCAGCTCCAGAAAAACTCCTGAGACCGACTCCATTCTCCCGGTGGCAGGTCCACGAGCCGCAGGGGGATAGAGGACAGCCAGAGGCTGGAGGAGCCGACTCTAGACCACTAAGCGGCATCGAGGGACTCACAGTACTGGGCTCAGCCCACGCGGCCGCAGAAAACACTATGGTGTGGCCAGGGCGTGGCTAAGGGCGGGGCACGCCCCTTCTTTCCCAATTCCCCTCCACTCCTGAGTCCCATTGGTCACAAAGACGTCCAATGAGCTCACGGATCAAGGTCCTACCCCGGGTCTGACTCGAAAGCTCCTGCCAAAACTTTGGGAGTTTTTAGAGAGGAGTTTTTTTTTTTTCTTTTTTTTTCTTTTTCCTTCTTATTTTTTTAAACTAACGGATCATTATTGTTGTTTTAAATTTAGTTCTTAGAACTTAGCTGTTTGGGTTTTTCTTTCGGTGTCGGGCCCCAGTCTCCTCGGCTTCTCCGGAGTAGCAGAGCGAGGCCGCGCCCGCCTCGCCACTCCAGTACCCGGCGATCGACTCCATCCCTCGGGGAGCGCGCTCGCCGCGCCGCCTTTCAAGCCAGGCCAGGGGCCCAGGCGGTGACGGGAGGCGACCGGGCCCTCGCCTCCTCTCTCGGTGGCGCTAGGGCTCCCCGCTGGCCCTGGGCTTCAGTGCGGGCGGAGAACCGAAAGCAGACCGGGCTTGGCTGGGACACCGCCTCTCCCCGGGCACCCACCCACTTACCCACTCACCCAGGACCCCGCCAGGATTCTGCCAGGATGTTCGCGGCCGGCCTGGCTCCCTTCTATGCTTCCAACTTTAGTCTCTGGTCAGCCGCTTACTGTTCATCGGCCGGCGGCCCGGGCGGTTGCTCTTTCCCCTTGGACCCGGCGGCTGTCAAGAAACCCTCTTTCTGCATCGCGGACATCCTGCATGCCGGCGTCGGGGAGCCGGGGCCCGGTGCAGAGGGACTCGTGGGGGCCTCGGCCGCCCTCACCGCGCACTTGGGTTCCGTGCACCCGCACGCCTCCTTCCAAGCTGCCACCAGATCCCCGCTACGTCCCACTCCGGTGGTGGCGCCCTCAGAAGTGCCTACTGGCTTCCCTCAGCGGCTGTCCCCGCTCTCGGCTGCCTACCACCAGCATCTCCCGCAGCAACAACCGACGCAGCAACAACAGTCCCAGCCACAGCCTCCGCCTCCACCCCGGGCGGGCTCCCTGCAGCCACCGGCTTCAGGGACGCGGGTGGTCCCCCACCATAGCGGCTCCGCCCCTGCCCCCTCCAGCAAAGACCTCAAATTTGGAATCGACCGAATTTTGTCTGCAGAATTTGACCCAAAAGTCAAGGAAGGCAACACATTGAGAGGTACGTCCTGGCTGACAGGCTTCAGGCCTCATAACCACTCATGAGGGTCCTGATCCCGTGCGGGTTTTGGGTGCTTCTTACATTTAAGGACAAATCAGTAGAATGAGGGAGAAGAAAATGAAGTGTAAGAAAACTATGTGACATTTAAAACTCAACTACTCTGTGTAAAAAGTGACTCTCGGATGCTTACACAGCACGCAGCGGGTATCAGCACCGATTCCTGTAAACTTTTGCAAAAGTGGGTGGGTATAATCTATCTTTTGAATGACGTGTCTACAGAAAGACATAGGCCTTTCTCACGGGGAAATCTCAGCGTGGGGACATTTTGCTTTTATTTGATTTCCAGTAAAATTCTTCCTAAGAATTGTGGGGAAGTAAAACTGCTAGTCTAAGCTCCTGAGGGAAGAAGGCAGAGTGAGGGGCCTACTGCCTTATGACTAGTTTATGAAAAGCTTTTTTTTTCTGTGGGGTGGACTGGACGTGGTTGACACACACAGGGGCAGTTTAGGCCCCATCCTTGGTGGCTTGGGGGGTGCTTTCTGTGGATATGGGGTCTTTCTTGACTCTGCTTGCCTAAAACTGGAGCAAAGGAGAAGGGAAGGGTGGAAGAACTCTGCCCGGAGGATGTGAGTTTGTCCACGATGTAACCAAACTCTTCTTCCCCCCTCCTCAGATCTCACGTCGCTGCTAACTGGTGGGCGGCCTGCAGGGGTGCACCTCGCTGGCCTGCAGCCTTCGGCCGGACAGTTCTTCGCATCTCTAGATCCTATTAACGAGGCGTCTGCTATCCTCAGCCCCTTAAGCTCCAACCCAAGAAACTCTGTTCAGCATCAATTCCAAGACACGTTTCCAGGTAGAAAACTTCCCGAGTTCAATACGCGAGCCTCTGAGCCTGGTGGCTAGCAACCGATCCTTAGAAATCTTAGTCTGATGCCACAAAGGTCAGCGGTACCATAGTTGGGGTAGAAGCCTCCTTAGTCCTAGGAGAGACCGAGAAACTGTCCTAGTGGGACAGTTGGAGAAGAGAGGAGAACCAAGATAGTGTATATCAGCGTGGGTCCCTGTCTGTCCCTAGTCTTTTCGCCCAGAGAGGGTGATTTGATGACACGCGCGCGCAAACACACACACACACACACACACACACACACACACACAGACAGAGAGAGAGAGAGAGAGAGATTTGCTTGACTGATTACATCTTTTCTGAAAGACAAATGCCTGGAGTATAGGACTGTCACTAGCAGGTCATTCAGACCCCAGGTACAGCTCCAACTATTTTAACACGTCTGGTGACCGTGCATTTAGTTTATGAGTTTCCCTTGAACGAATCTACGGAGTCTCCGACTCTTCCTGGCTTTAGGCCTAAAGCGGTTCTGTGAAAAATCTTTTTTTTTTTTTAAAAAGTCCGTAGGCCATTCCCGCACAAGCAAAAGGAGTTGGGAGGCGACTGTGAACTCAAAACACCTTTAAATACCCACGAGAACCAAAGGCTGAGGCCCTAACACTAACTAGGCCCTGAACCTCTCTCTCTCTCTCTCTTCTGGCTGGTTGGCAGGTCCCTATGCTGTGCTCACCAAGGACACCATGCCGCAGACGTACAAGCGGAAGCGCTCCTGGTCCCGCGCGGTCTTTTCCAATCTGCAAAGGAAAGGCCTGGAGAAGAGATTTGAGATTCAGAAATACGTGACGAAGCCAGACCGAAAGCAGCTGGCCGCGATGCTGGGACTCACCGACGCTCAGGTAGGGTGTCCTCCCGCAGGCAGTAAATGGTAAACAAGGCGGGACCGCAGGCCTCCTCCTCCAGGTCTACTCACCTTCAGCAATCAAAATACAAGGTCTTGAACGTCAAGAGACTTTGTGGTGTTGCAACTCATAGCCAGAGAAGAGGCGGGTAGGGGTGGAGGTGGAGGAGACGGACGGAGAGAATAGTCCATTCCTGAAGATGTATGTCAACAAGCATTGAGTGTTTATTTTGGCCAAGAGGCCAAAGAACTGCGGAGAAAGAGAGTCGGAGATGGTAATTATGCACTAGACTGGAGTGCACCTCGCTGTCGGAGGCAGTTTGTTTCAGAAGAGAAAAACCCAAAGTCAATAGATTGTTGTTGGTTCCTGCCTTCCTTCGCTGCATTGTGAAATCCCACTTGTGAGGAACTGAAAATATAATTTCAAACGGAATGACTTCGGAGTTGCTTTAAGACAGGATTTGAGCTTGGAGCAGCCACAGTCCCAGTTTCTAGCTAACAGCCCAGTCTCTGACGATAGTATCTGTTGGCAATGGGGCTGAGGGAGAGAAAGAAGAAAGATTTTCTCAGAATGTCCAAGAACGTTTTTTTTCCAGTAAGTCCTGCAGACTTGATTTGAGGAAGGAAGGAAGGAAGGAAGGAAGGAAGGAAGGAAAAAAGGGACAATAGGAATCTTTTATCCTGGAACTTTTTTTTTTCTCAGTTTCAGGAATTAGAGTTTCTTTTTGCTTGCTCGACTACTCTCTTCTAGTTCAGCACTCCTGTTGCTTCAATGCGGACTCCCACAGAGCAGAAGGCAAAGCAGGCTCTCTCTCTCTCTCTCTCTCTCTCTCTCTCTCTCTCTCTCCCTCCCTCCCTCCCTCCCTCCCTGGTTCGGACTTCTGTCCTTGTGTCTTTCTGTTCTCCATTACACAACACGCTTCCTCAGCACACACAGACGGACTGGAAAGCCCGGCCTCTTTCTACCAGCTGTGCATGTTATTTTTAAAGGGGAAGCTGGAACTTGTGTGAATGTGTTGGGTCCCCCAGAGAATCATAGATTTATATAGATTCTCCATCCATCTCTTCCCCATTCCTATATGCTGCATATTTAATTCCAGTATTTACTGAGCCCCAGGAGAATACGGTTGTCTCACACAGAAACAGGGTCTGTATCAACTCTTAGGTAAAAATGTGCTGAGTGGATTCTTCTTTCCTTAAAGCCCAGCAGGTGCCCATTCTAGTGGGATTAATTCTTTGAGTCTCTTGCCCCTTTGTTCACTTTCTCCTTAAAACAGCCAAGGGCTGTGATCTGAGTACTCAGGAGGAAGAAGAAGGAGGATCTCAAGTTCAAAGCCAGCCTGGTTCAAAAGAAACCCTGTCTCAACAAAAATCCTAAGGGACTGGGGTGGTACAGTTAGATTTTTTGGTGAATTACTTTGCGTAGCGAATGCCTGGGGATGAGAGGGACCTCAAAAGTTCTTAATATTGGCTCTCACCAAAACCCTGGCATTGCGTACACAATAGGGATATATATATATATAATTATATATATATAATTATATATATATATAATTTTCGGTCAGGACTCTTTAATTTTAATCAATCCTACAGGAGTCCTGAGCTTGGTGAGATTACAAAGCAATTTGCAGAAATCTGTCCTTCTCTTGCACCCAGGTCATTTCAGTCTTGAGATACGAGGGCCAAATTTAAAGAATAAGTGGCTTGGACGGGTTTCACCTCTTAGATAGCTCCTGGATATTTATGTTTAGTTAAGGTGTCTGGGTTCTGGAGGCGTAAATAAGCGTCCGTGCTATCTTGCCTTAGGGGGCTAACTCCAGGTGTTTTGAGCTTGTTATTTATCTCGCATCTCTTTTGATGTTGCACGTAGGTGAAGGTGTGGTTCCAGAATCGGAGGATGAAGTGGCGACACTCTAAGGAGGCTCAGGCACAGAAGGACAAGGACAAGGAAGTCAGCGAAAAGCCTTCTGGAGGAGCCCCCGCCGAGGGCGAACTGGAAGAGAGAAGCCCCAGCCGTTCCGAGGGCGAGGCCGAGAGCGAGAGCAGTGACTCGGAGTCCCTGGACATGGCCCCCAGCGACACGGAACGGACTGAAGGGAGTGAGCGGTCCCTGCACCAAACTACGGTCATCAAGGCCTCCGCCGCGGGCGCCCTTCTCACAACCAGCAGCAGTGCAAGCGGTGGCAGCTTCAGCTTCAGCAGCGTCAGCAGCCTGGGTAGCAACAACAGCGGCGCGGGGAGTGCCAACAGCCTTGGCGGCGGCAGCTCGGAGCTACTCCCCGCGCACCAGTCCTCAGCCACCAGCAATCCCCAGAGTCCAGAGCCTGCCCAAGCCACGCTTGCAGGCTTATAGACTGAACCGAGGGTGCTTATGGCATGGCATGGCGTGCAACTTCCCCATCACTGGCTGGAGTTTGTGTCTACTTTAGTTGGTGGCAAGGGTCGCCGAGACAGGAGACGCCAAGGGCAGCTTCTTGGGGGTTCACACCCTTTCTTTTGCTGCCTAGGTTGCCTGAGGCCTACAGCTCCCAAAAGAGAGGAAAGTTTTGAGGTTCCCTTGCCAAAGAATGCAACTGTTCCCCCTACCCAAGCAGCTCACACTGTGAAGTGTTTGATGGAACTGTTCCTCTGAGCACCAGGGGTCTTGGCATAAGGACATGCTGCACTTAGAAGGCCTTTAACTTGTAAATAAAATGTTTACTACAGTTTGTAAAAGGCCGTTTGGCTTGCTGGCTTGCTGGGGTTTGGAGGTTGTTAAGTACCAAAGATGGGGGGACCAGTACTTTATCCCTGAGACACAGCAGATGACAACATCTGGAAGAGGGGAAAGCAGCCCCAGAGTCAAAGATGGAGATCCCCACAGAGACCCCCGCGGGGCAGTAGAGGCTTCACCCTGCATGGAAGTCCTTGACAACCCCCACCTATGACTGCCTGGGTGCGAGGCCCGCAAAGAAACAGAATGTAGAATCTTAGGCCTGTTCTGCAGATGGCTTTCCTAAGCAGGGTCGGGATGCCGTGAGCGGGCATGCTTGCGTTCCCCGTGGCTGTGGAGAGCTCGGAGTTAAGAGTGGAATCCGCTCTGCCGTGGAGCTGGAATCCAATCAGGCCCATCCGTGCTCACCAGGCTTTTGCTAGACTTCCAGTCTGGAGGCTGGGGGCTGTACCAGGGCAACTGCGCAGTGGGGAGGTAGGGAAACCTGGGCGACTCTGGTAAGAAAAGGACAGAAGGGCCACAAGAGTTAGGGACTGGAGACCGGGTCTTCCAAGTGCCAAGGCCCTGCTTTTAAAGAGGCTCATGTAACTGGGCAGTAATGAGGTGACTTTGAAAGTTAGACAGAGGTGAAGCCAGCTGTGGATCTCCTGGCCCACGTTCGCTCGATGGATCTAGGCAATATACTTAACACTCCTTCCTCTGAACCCAGATAAAATTTTCCTTTGCCATTCTTCCCCTGGAGGCACCCCCGACAGGCCTTGGGGAGTCAGGCGTTAGTGTCCATTACGGTTGGGCACATTAAGGCAGCCAGGAGGATGATGAATACTGTAAGGGCCTTTCTTTTAAAATGTGAAGCCTTTTTCTACAACCTGTGTCCTTCCCACAGCCTTCGCGAGAAACGGTGTGAAAACGTTAAGATAGTAGTTGTCTTTGGGAGGAAACCGAGACAGCAGCAACAAAGACAACAACAGAAACAGATGTCCCAGGCAATTTTTGGCACAGAGCAGTGCCAGGGCACAAGTCCTCTTAGAAACACAGCATCTAATTCGGGAATTCCTCCTGCCCAAGGAAGGGAGGAAAAGTGCTGTGGCCAGGGATCCTGGGAGGCACTCTTCTCCTGAATGAACGGCAAACTTGCCGCTGCTCAGCCCGAGTGTTGATGATCTTCTTCTCCTCCGCTTTGATTCGTCCTTCGCTGGAGCTGGTTCCTGGAGTCTTGCTCTGGACCTGTGTGACCCAGGACCGGAATGAAGAAGAGAGATACTTCTTTTGGAAAGATGGTAGAGAAAGTAGTTGGGGCGGGAGGGAGAGCAAGAATAAATCAAGATAGGACACCTTCACTAGGGACCCGATTTAAAGGGGAATGTGAGCTAGCTATTATCCTTAGCTACTCACAAGAGTTGAGGGGCCACAGGCAGCCTCTCTGACAGCCCCGGGCTTCAGGTGGCGGTGTTTCGGTGTCTCTAAGTCTCCCATTGGGCTTTGCTTCTCAGACTTCAGTATTCCCCGGACCTGAAGCTTGCACTCATTGCCTAGATTCCTCTACTCTAACTTAACATATTTTTAAAACCTGGAGTCCAAACATTCAAAAGACACGGAACTAGGTAGGACACACTTAAATCCAATTCTGGTATTAAAGAGAACGGAGCCGGGTTCTACCCACCTAAGCAAGGAGGAGCCGCGTCTGTCTGGGGGAAAGACTGGGAGGGGCCGGTGCTTTATGCAAAGTTTCCGACGCCTCTGGTTCACCGTGCCCCCTCCCCTCCTCTCTTCTAACCCCGACGGCAGCAGTTTTTCTTCTTGACTTTTATACTTAGTAATGGAAGGAAAGGAACCATTGCAGGGGTAAGGTAATGGTCTGTTTTTTTAAAGATCGTCTCTGGCCCTTTTTCTGCCAGGTTGGGCAAGGCCAGGGACCCGCGGAACCTGAGGACGAAATTACCCAGGCGCCGGCCACCTGGAGGAGGTAGTGTGGAAGTCGATTGTGACCCACCCGGAATGGGTAGTCTGAAAGTCGGGTGGTGCCCTCGCATGACCTGATGCACTTTTTTCTTTGCTACCCCCTCCCCCTAATTTCTGACCATTTATCTCGTGAAACTCTTACTTCCACCAGCATCCAGAATGTCACAAGCCCTGTGAAGTTTCGTTTACATGTAAAAAATGGCACTGCAGAGAGAAGCCCCCCACCCCTACCCCACCCCTGGCAGACCGCTGGACTTAAGGCTGCCTTTCGGGCGCGGGCGAGTGGTTTTGTGTTGGAGCCTGCTTTGCTGGGCTACCGGGATCTTTCTGGAAACGCTTGATCCTAGTCTGGGCAACCTAGGGCTGAGGTTTCTGAGGCGCAGAGAAGGCTAAGTGTGGAAGATTAGCGGACGCCTGACCTCTGGACTGGTTGGAGTCTGGTAGAGGTGTGTGTGCTTGCGAGGGTCCGAAGCCGCGGAGAGCCAAAAGAAGCCGCGAGCCGAGGCCCGTGTCCCTCTTCTATGGCTTGCGGTGCGGGACTCAGAGCTTTCCTCCAAGCAGTAGTTACTCTTTGAGAAGAGGCAGGCTTTTCCTTACCTCTTGCAGGAGTCCCCTCAATGAGGAGTCGACTCAACTACCATACAAGGCCTCCAAAAAACATAAGCAGAAGTGAATTTCACTAGGTAAAAGGAATAGGGGTCTGACACACAGCCTCTCTCTCTCTCTCTCTCTCTCTCTCTCTCTCTCTCTCTCTCTCTCAATGGCTCCAATCTCTGTCTGGCAAAAGAAGGCAAGAATCCTCACACCATCTTTTTCTGCCTCTGTGGGTGGGACGCTTGTCTCTGTAGCATTTGTCTGGCGCCACATTCCCACATTCCGCAGACCAAAACCACCGAAAACCAGATCCACCTTCTGCATTTGCTGTCCTCTGCAGAAAGCAGGGAGGAACCTGGATTCGAAGAGTGTGCCACCCCGCTTTCCAGTCCCACTGGGGCCAAACACGTCAGGTTATGAGCGACGTCAAGGCCAAGTGTTTGAGGAAGATTCTAGTAGACTCAGCCAAGGAAATCACTCCCTATCTTCACTCACTCTTCACCCCTCCAAGGATTGGAGAAAGCCATAACTCCAGCCCCCACAAATCTCTGATCCCCTCCAAACTTCAGAGGGGACCAAAAGAAAACCCCAGAACACTGCAGTTTTGTTTTTTTTTTCCTCTGACTGTTGTCCCTCTCCAGGCCCTGGCAGGGATGGTGGCTGGGCCAGGCTGCACCAACAGAAAAGGCAAGATAATAATATCCCAGGCAGGTTTTCTTTTTCTAGATACCAGAGATCCAAGAGCCCTGAAACTGGGCCCAGGTTCCTCTGCACAGGCTTGCGGCTTGCAGTTGTCTATTGAGGCTGGAGAGTCCTCAGGGGCTAGGTAAGAATGTCAGTCTTCAGCAGGGAATTTAAATTGAATTGGATTTGAATTGAATTATGGCACTTTAACCAGTTCAGGAATGCCACCTCCTTCTTTCCAAGCTACGGCTTTTTTTTTTAAAAGAAAAAAAAAAGCAGATAGCCAGGTTAGGCTTGGGGCAAACAACAAAAGAAGCCAGAAGCTTACTTGGATGGCGGATACACCCTCTTTTCATCGAAGTTCCTTTCTAGCCCCTCCCTCTTTCTTTAAAGAACAGGTAAGTGACTGTGAATTCAGTCTTTTCCCTACCACATGGTGACACTGCCTTGGAGAAGGCCAAGGGGCCCCTAAACATACGAGGCATGCCGCCGTCTCTCTTTTTTTGCCTCTGGGAGGTAGAGTAGCAACACACCCCACACCCAATGGTCTTTGTGGAGAACAGGAGCTGGGTTCCAAGAACTTCACCTGAAGGTGCTATGTTAGGGAGGGGAGATAAAAAACTGAATTTAACAGATCTTGAACACCATAGCATTTTCAAATATCCCCAAGGCAGATGGAGGCTTCTCTATATGCCATGGTCTCATCTTGTAGAGAGTTTCCCCTGCTTTCCCTGAGTGGGATGCTCTGGGTAATCCTCCCACCTGGGTTCCCACAGAGCTGCAGGGGCTCCTGCTCTCTCTCTGCCACCTTACAGCAAGTTCAGGACTCTTGGACCTTGGAGCTCTTTGCTTCTCACCCTCTATCATTTTAGAAAACATGGATAGACATTCTATACCACAATAACTCCTGATGCCCTCATTCTAGAGATGAGGCAGGGGGCAGGAAGAAAAGGAAAGACATTTGTTCAAGATCACCTGGCGAATGAATGAAAGGACCATTGTGAACCTTGGGATCCACGCCTTCCGAAGAATGCAAGACTATGAGAGCTTCCTCTTGCTAGGCTTGTCCTGTAGGTTCTGATCAGGATCAAAGCTCATTGCAGTTTCAAAGAGGAGAATAAAAGTCTCAGAAACATAGGCTAGGCTCTCTGCCCCCCCCCCATCTAATCTCAGACTTAACTTTGGTGATGACAGATAACAGGATAAAACCCTCTATGGAAGAAAGTCACTTGTCTTGGACCTCGGGGTTGTTCTACTGATTTCTTCACCACCTGGTGGTAGGTATAGCAAGTGGTTAGTGCATGTAGCTGGAAGCCAGTGCTCTTGATCCCAGGCCAGCAAAGGAGGATCTGAATTAACCCCAGGAGCATTCCTCCACTCACCCACTCGCAGGTTCAACAATTAGCTGCATTGACCTTGAGAAATTCATCTAACCCTTTAGCTTCGTTTTCCCCCAACTCTGTACGAGTAAATGAACCTAAATCGTAAACTGCCATGAAGGTCAGTTGCATTAACAAAACAAAACAAAACAAAACAAAACAAACCTTTCCAAGAGGGAAGTAGCCAGTATGCAGCTAGACAAGATACATTCTTTTACTTATTTATTTGTAACAGTGTTTGCCGAGATCTCTGTTAGTGTTCGCATGGTGGGGGCTGGGGGGAGGAAGCGCAGCAATTCTCACTCACCAAGAAAGTAAATCATCTGGAGCTAATGAAGCTTATGAATACGGGGCTGCTTTGCCCCGTGTTCCCTGGAAATCTT